AACAAATGACGCTAGGATACACTTCGGAGTCTGCAGCTTATTTAAGTAGTAACTTAAATTTCTAAGTTTTGGTCTTCAGGGTCAGCACAAGGTCTTGGTCAAGAGATTTCGGCGAACGATATCGATTCCAGTAGCAGAAGTGTGGAGACTCTCTTTTTCTCTGTGTGTGTGTGTCATCTGTCCCAAACCTTCAGTTTATATGGAATCCTGCGTCCGGCAATGGTGGATGGACTCGTGTCTGAGTTCGGTTGTTTTCTACCCTAAGCATTAACCTTTTCTAAATTTCCATATATATAAAAACACATTTACACAAGTGGTTTTCCAAATTTGGGGTTATCCAGCCCCCTTTTGAGAGTGGTCAGAGTAAACGAGCCACTCCTTAATTGCATCTTCCTTCACGCCTCACCTTGTACCATAGCTCCATATATGCAAATTGGTCCTTCTCTTTCTTCTCCCACTTTCTCAACAGCAGGGATTTTCAGTCATTAATCCTTCTCCATCAGCTTACCCCATGTTGGGAACTCTTGATCGACTAGACCACTAAAGAATTGGAAAAGGAAAGAAAAATTATTTACATTCTCCTTAAAACGAAATTCTTATCTTTTCTCTGTCTATGCTTTTTTTACGATTAACAGAGAACAAAGTCTTTTTGTCCATGGTCACTTCAAAGCAGTAATTCATTTTTCCTTATCACTTGTATCCAAAGGAATCCGAATTAATGTTTGGATACAAAATTTTCTCTGGACGAATGAAGACAAATGGATTTTGCGCCCCAAAACACTTTGTCCGGACGGACTTAACAACAGACTAAACAGCACAGTTAGAATTAATATATAATCCCATAGATCAACCCACCCACCTATATTTCCCAACCACACTAGACAGACATACTTGCAGAGGTGTTGAGGTCTCCCACATACACACACTCACACAAACATATACACATCCCCGCCCCCGAAAAAAAAACTTAAATATAACATACACATAACACACACATTCTATTCCCAGCAACCAATAAGGCTGTCAAAATGACTAAGGAGGTAAATCTGGGACTCACAAATCTCCCAGCCTCTCTTTAAAAAGAACTTGAAAAAGACCTTTGGACCAATAATTGACATAAAAAAAAAACAGATGAAAATTACAGGCAAAGTTCACTTTCTTCAGAGACAGTTATTTATCCCTGCAGTTAACCGCTACTAACAAGCAAGAATTTTTTCTCCTGATGATGGCCATGCTGATAGAAACTAATCGAGGAACATAATTTAAATAATAAGAAGAAAATATTAATATACAACCCAGTGTATCTGAAATTTTAATTTTTTAACATTTTTTATTCTTCAAGACACGCACACACTCACGCACACACACACATACATATATATACATTTATGTATTATATATATATATGCATTATATATATATATATATATATATATATATATATATATATACGCACGCACACACACATACATATATATGCATGTATTATATATGTATGTATTATACATATATGTATTATATATATATATGTATTATATATACGCACGCACGCACACACACACACAGACATGTGCTGAAACGTTCTCGGTTAGACCAAAAACGGGATTCAAAAAGAAAATGTTATTTTGGAAATGGGACGGACTGAGAACTTTTCATAACTCTTCGTGTATATATATATATATATATATATATATATATATACACGCGCGCGTGTGTGTGTGTGTTTATGTTTTCTGTCGACCATAATAATCATTTTTGTATCCTGTTTCCTGATTGATTTGTACGCAATAAAATCACCAGAAACGATTCGCCGGAAATTGCTGTCCACAAATTCTTTCGCCACCCGTCAATTCAACTCTCCACCAGTCCCAAATCTCTGAATCTATCCCACTCCCCACTTCTCCTCTCCGCCACTCCTTCTTCTCCTCCCCCTCCCCGCCACTCCACACCACTGAATCCTTGTGATCAGATGAAAACTCTTATTTCGTCTGCCATATTTTTTCTTGCATATCAGTAGAGAAACTATTCTTTTTCTTCTTTTGATTGCAATAAACCATTTAGTGTAAGCAGGTGGTAGCATTTCTGATTCCTTTAGTTTTGGAGTCAAGTTTTTATTTTTCCTTTTTGCTGCAAATATTCGAGAACATTTTTTTAAAAATTAAAATAAGAGTGTATTCTTTGTTGTTGAAAGATGCTCTTTGGATGGAATCAAATCAGAAGGAACATTTTACACTGCGTCTATTCTGTAACACGCAGTTTCAGCCTGGGTAAAAGACATAACATGTAATACTGATTTTCAAGGCAGGCGATATTTTCTTATTATTGGCGAAGCACTCGATTTACTCACATTTGATCTTGTTATTGTTTTCTCTTTGTTTTCTTTTCATCATTGATTCAGATTAGTCGACGCTGCTTTCTGTAATAGATGCTATGAAAAGAAATTTGCATTCAGTTGATATGTATTTACTAAAAACTTTGTAGTCATCAATTGCATTAATATAGGTTGATGTCTACTTGTTTACTCTCATGTCAAATTGCGCTGGAATTCGCTTAATTCCCCTACACGTTTCCGTATACATATTTAACGAACAGATGTAGAATCTATGCAACAGGTGAAGAGATTTAATTCACGATTTCATTTCTCGTTCATTTATTACCTGAGTTACGCCTGCACACTTTCGTTAGAACGGAAATGTGCTTATATAACATTTTTTTAAAATACTGACTCGAATTAATTGGAGGGATCAAGTTTTAAGTGAGTCGGTAAAAAGGTATTTTTTTTTTTTTAACTATCAACCATAAATTGTCTCGAAATCCAGGTGGAAACATTTATGGGATTACTTATTCTTTTCCTACCTATAATCTTTCAAAATGGCTACCCTTGTAGACACACAAATAGATATAAAATCTTTTGTAGGGAGTAAGTGCTGTAGACATTTATAGGAGGTTAGTGTTTATGAAAAGATTGCACTTGATGTAAGCACTGTAATGGCATTCTGAGAAAGGAGATACTGATCTTAGTGACAGGCCCATTAGTGGCAAGTCAGGTGCTGCTATTAATGAGGATAACGTCAAGCAGGTTAATGCTTTCATGATAGAAGTACAGTTTAAAAAACTCTGTGAAAGCCTCAGGTGAGCTATGGAGTTTAGTGCAGACGCTTCGTTATTCACATACCTGTGTAAGGTGGTTTTCCAGGAAGATTTCTGACCTGTCGCCCCAGACTTTTCATGTATGTGGGTGCATGAAGGTAGCACTTAAAGGATAGTCGTTCTCCAATGATGCTGGAACGAAAGAGGCAACAGACATGGCTAAGAATATAACCAGAAAGCTTTGATGAGACAACTATACATGGCTTCATTTAATGTTGGAATACCATGATTGTGAAGGAAGAAGTCTATGTTGAAGACTAGATTTGAACCTTAAGAATTTGTGTTCATTTTCGTACGCTTTATGTGATTCTGCTATTAATTCTACTATTTGTAAATGGTAGACTGTTTTTTTATTAATATTAAATGGAGGGATAATTTCCGGACAGATTTAATAGAACGCATTAAATTCTGACAGCAGATGAAAAGTAAATAAAAATAATCACAGTTTAGCACAAACTGCAGTTGAACGTTTTATACAAGTTTCCCGTTTTCCTTATCGTTAATAGGGTAAACCCAACTCTCTAGCCTTGAGTGACAGCCATTCTATGATAATAACAACTCTAAATTAAATAATGGGGAAGCCAATGGGAACCGACTTCATTATTTTCCCAAGAAGACATGATAATTCCCATATAATAAGGAATAAGAAACCGCTTTGCTCATTTAGTCATTAACAAACTAACCATTTCTGGCAGTATGGAAAATTATGAATATTAGTTATCAAATTTCTCAATTTTTACTGAAATTTTTGCTTCAGTGAGCTTTAATATGTTCTGCACTGAAAATCAGAAAAAGGAAAATCATTGTCAGTAAGCCATGATTAAAGTTGTCATAAGTGCTAGAACTGGGATATCTTATGAATAAGGTAAGTGCATTTTTAATGATTTTCCTTTTAAAAAAGCATTAAAAATAATTTCACCATAAAAATTGCATTGAAAATTATTTTATAGAAATATGCTGAAAATCAGGAGGAAATGGAGCATCTGTCGTCAGAAATTATTGCATGCATTATTGAGAAGATTCGACTATTATCAAATTAAAATATATAAAACACGCGGGGCAAAACGAAACCAGTTTCATACTGGTTGTGCTTATGTGGATTACATTAATGGCATTAAAAAAACTAACAACAACAACAAAAAAAAAAAAACAGTACAGATTTTAAAAAAAATGTTATAATTTACAAATAGGGAAGAAAATGGTGTCAAATAGATCAACGCGCGCAAAATGTTTAATCTTTATTAAGTCCTAAAAAGAACAGGACAAGTTGAAATATTGCATATGACCTGGCGTAAAATTCTATTTGAAATAATAAAACGAGTACGCTCAGAATACATTAAGAAATATTGATATAACATTTTTAAACCGCTTCAAATAATTGCCAGTATATCATTGAAAACGATTTATAGTCTAGATATATAATGTTTTCTTATTATTTTTATGTTCTTATAATTTTTGTGGGTATTCTACGAGTAATATAAATAGCTAATGTACCCACTATCTGTTCCTTTTGCAACGTCTCCAATCCCGGTTTAAGTCTATGACTAGCAATGTGCTTCTTGTAGTACTAGTCTCGCTTGATGCTGGTCATGCAATCATTTGTTAATTCTGAAATGCTGTGGTCATTACATCTCGGGATCAAGGAGGAAAATTATCCTTGTTTCTTTTTCGTTGATGGATTGAAAAATCGATTACAGCCCAATCAATTCGGATTCAATTTAATAATTGCTACCTCCTTTTAATCTGCCATCCTTTGCTCAACAAAATGGCCGCAGTTATTGCTGCAGTAATTTCCGCTTTTTGCGTTTATTTTGCAAAATGCAATTCAGTCTGGATTATCTTATCGCTGTTTATTTGGAACAGAATAAAAGAGAGACGTGAACGCATACGTACATAGGAGGAGGATGAAAAGAAGAAAAAGAAACAGAATAAATATCAGTAGCAGCTGCTGCTGCTGCAGCAGCAGCAGGAGGCTAAGAAGAAGAAGAAGAAGAAGAAGAAGAAGAAGAAGAAGAAGAAAACTTCATAAAAACGCTAATTTGTATATATAGTCGCAAAAGAAAAATATGAAACAAGATCGAGGACAGAAGATAAAATCAAATTGGATTGGAACAGATATTTACTTACCTCAGCATAGAGTTACAAGTTAGTGTTACAAGTTTCGGACACCTAGTGCGGATCGAGCTCACTTTAGTGGTATTGGCCCGCAAGACCAGTTTACGAACCACTATTACTCAAATTGTACTGAGATGTGAAAGAGGGCAAATAAAACAGAAATGAGGTGGGAAAAGACAAAAATATTAGTAAAGTGTAAGTAATTATGTGGGGATTTTCTAAGGGTAGCTTAGATGTGGCACAAGGCCGAGTAGTATGGGGCACCCAGCATAGCTTAGATGTGTCACAAGGCCGAGTAGTATGGGGCACCCAGCATAGCTTAGATGTGGCACAAGGCCGAGTAGTATGGGGCACCCAGCATAGCTTAGATGTGGCACAAGGCCGAGTAGTATGGGGCACCCAGCATAGCTTAGATGTGGCACAAGGCCGAGTAGTATGGGGCACCCAGCATAGCTTAGATGTGTCACAAGGCCGAGTAGTATGGGGCACCCAACATAGCTTAGATGTGGCACAAGGCCGAGTAGTATGGGGCACCCAGCATAGCTTAGATGTGGCACAAGGTCGAAAGTGAATTATATGAATGGACAACGTAACACTTATAGACGTAGAAAGTGGAAGCGGCGAACCAAGTTCAAATTAATGCCTTGTCTGTTACGTTCATTTTTTAACTAATGCCCTTGGAAAAGACATAAATCTATCTCATCTCCTCGGCACCCAACAGTCGATAGCAGTCAGTCTCGGAGAAGGAAAATATTGAATACAAATTCTTGCAGAAGGCAACGGAAAATGTATCTACTATATTTCCCAAGAAGACAAATAATTCAACGGTAATAAAGAAAAGGAACCTGTGGAGATCCATGTCCTGAAGAGAAATGACATTAAAATCTTATAGTAGAAGGCAAAAATAATATTAGGAGTGAGTGTAATGATGGCCAAGTGGGAAAAAAATGAATTTAATTTGAAGAAAGGTAAAAATCACGGGTAGAATAAATAGTGAAATAGATAATTGGAGGAGGAGTAAAAGAGGTGAAAAGAGGAGGAGGGAAGAAGATGAAGGGAAAAGGAATGAAGTGGATGAAAGAGTGAGAAATAAAGGAGATGAAGGGATGTGGGGTGAAGAAGGTGAAGGGAAAAGGAATGAAGTGGATGAAAGGAGGAGGCGTAAAGGCGATGAAGTGAGGAGGAATGAACAAGATAAAAAGGGAGGAGGCGAGAGAAAAAAAGGTGTAACAGTTATAATGCAGACAACAAGAACATGAAAAAGAGGGGAAAGAACTGAATGACAAAAAATCAAAGCCGAAGATAGAAGAAAGAAATAAGAAAAGTTTGACTTTTGGGAAATAGAAGAAGGAGAATTCTTGGAGTGGGCAAACTAAAGAGATGTTTGTGTGCAGCGTGTAAAATTACAAAAGATAGAAGAAAGTGCCAAGAGAAGAAGAGAGAGAGAGAGAGAGAGAGAGAGAGAGAGAGAGAGAGAGAGAGAGAGAAAAGATTGGAAATTTTGGCACAAGTTAATGAAGTCAAGTTAGAAAATAAAGAAAATGCTATTGGCACGATCTTCAGAAAGAAAAGCAAGTTTTTTTTTTGTTTTGCTTTTCTCCCTAAACGTCCATTTGGCGGAAGATTTGTTTTGATACCGGAAGATTTTTCATTCAAAGATAAAGCCGTATTAGTAGTTGTGGAAGACAAAATAGTCCGCGTTACTTAGAAGTGTTAAAGAAGAGACTTGTTCCACTTTTCCAACTGTCCGTATGGAAGAAAATTTGTATTTCAGCAGGTTAATACAATGATTCATCAAGCAATGTTTTGAATGTAAAGGTGTCATGGTTATTAAGTGTCCTACAAACTCTCCTGGTTGCAGTCTCATTAAGAAGCTGTCGGGCATCATTTCAAGACGTGGGTCTATAAACGGAAAAGGCAGTTTGAAAAGAGGAACAGTTTAATCCTTTGCGTAAAGCCTTGCGCATATAAAATTCTATTTACAACCTTGGAAAATCTTATGTTCCCAATTCAAAACAAGTATGCTATGTTAATCCTGTAGACTCCCCAATGGATTTTAGGGCAACAGCCTTACAACGTTGATGCTATCATTTCCGTAACAAGTACCTTTTTATGGAGTGGAGTTGCTAACCACACGCACCACTGGTTTTGAATTCAAAGTTGTAGACTCGTTGCCAACCGAAACTATTGCCGTATATACTTGTGTATCTAAGGTTATCCATGAATTCTTTGAGTATAAAACAGTTACAGGACAGAAAATAATAAAATAGTCACCATCAAGTCCTGATCTGAATCCGATCAAAAATCTATGGTCAATTGTGAAGATGAAATTATATGAAGATGTCAAATAATAGACCTATGGGAAATAATTAAGACTACCATGTTGGAAATTGAACCTGATGAAGTAAAAAAAAATTAACAAAATCAATGGATAATAGATTACTGACTGTTATTAAGGATCACTATATGAAAATGTGTAGGATACAAAGACTTATCATATGTGTTTGTTATTTGTTCTGTTATAGGTGTTGATCTATGTTTTATTAGATTTTTATTGAAGTAAAATGTGATTATTTAGTTTTGCCTGATAATTTCAGATGGCAGTTTATTAGAATACATCAAATAAATACAATAAAACATTGATACTGCCTAAAATTTTAACTCAGCCTTTGTTTTGATATCTAAATTGATTGTCTAAATTTTGACAATTATTTTTTTTGAACCAAACTTGAATTATTGAAGTTTAAATGATTTGTTTAATAACTTCAGAAAGAGTGTCGTCTGAAAAAAATGCAGTTTCAGGATTTCATGACGTCAACAAAATAATGTGAACAAAATTCCCGAAACAGTTTTCTTCTTTCTTTTTTTTAGTGCAAGTTCCAAATATGACAATCATTTATATTTTTGGGACCGTATGCCGAGAAGCAGATATCAATTTTCAACATAACTTTTCTTGTATGTATCAGAAAATCATGATCTAGACCTCTGTTACTATGATTTTCGGGAATCGCTTTTTTGCACCTTCTCAAAAGATGTTTAATTGGGTTCAATTCCGAATTTCAGGAATTTTAGTTCTTCACTACAAGAAGAAATGTATAAGCTTTGTTTTTAATCTTTCTCTTAAGTTCAAATAACGTTAATAGAGTTTCATGTATATTCGTTCGGCTCTATTCTCCGATCCTACTTTTCAGTGGTACGATTAGACGACAGCCATTTTAGCTGTGGGAGTTACCATAAAGGAGGTACAGTTTTGACAGTTATTAACCTTACGGGTTTGGGGTAAGAATTGGCCGTCTCTTCAAGGGTGGAGAAGACAGCTTGCGTTGCTATTTAGTTGAGGATGAAGTGTATTCATTCATTTCCGGAGAGTATTAGTGCGAAGATTGATGAGTTAGAGTTTTATGGGATGGTTCTTTAATTGGTTACAGTAAGTATAACCTACACAACAAATACTTTTCTCGAATCCACCTTATCAATTTACCTTGTAGATTGGTGATATTTTTTTTATCGTCACTTATTTCTATATTTCAATGGTTTTCCGGTTTTTCGGAGAAAAGTGAATAAATACGTGGGCAAGCCCATTTCCGCTAACAGCAAAAAGTTGTCATATCCCTATGAACTTTGACAAGAGCTAATCATATTTTTGTCTTTATTCCTCACGAGAACTGGCAACATTTCTTAACTATGAAACAGGAAAATTTCATTAGAAACAAAGAAAAGAGTACTGGACTTTTAGGTAATATCACTCCTTCTAAATGGTGCTAAATGATGAACAATTTCCTCACAGATAAAGAAAAGACCCGAAGCAACAGAAATGTTATTATACAGAATTATACTGAGAATACCATTGACTGAACATGTGAATAACAAGTAAATTTTAGGGCAAATGGAAACGAAAAAGGTCATTAGAATCAATAAGAGACAATTGAATTTTCTAGTGCACATAATGAGGAAAAAACCTTGGAAAATTTGACACTCTCGTGACATATTGAAGGCAAGAGACACAGAAGAAAGTAGAGAATAGCATACCTAAAGAGCTTGTGTATTTGGTTGGCGGAACAGGAATTAGGACAGATAGCAAAAAGACAAACGTTACTAAGAGCTACAAAAATCTGGAAGTTGTGGAGAGTCATGATCGCCTACGTCCTGAAGAGACACTGCACAGAGAAGAAGAATTTGTCATCGGGCAAGTGAGTCGAAGTGCATGCGTTAAACGTGTCTTTTTACTTTCAAATTGCTTAGAATTTATCCAATTAACAGATTCTATATATTCGGTTTCTATTAATGATTCTTATATAGGGTTTTTTGAACTGTCAAATATAATAGTCTTTCATTTTATATTCGTTTGTCTATTTGAATAATATCAAAAATATCCATGCCTTAAGAAAAAAGATATTTTTATATTTACGTATTGACTACAAGTGTGGTGAATCCAGTGAAGATAAAATACACTCAATGACCTACGCGACTAGTTGGCTGGCCATTATTTCAAAAGGCAACTAACAATTTATAAATAATATGAATTGCACAAGGCGTTCGAATGTTGACATTTATTGAAATATCGGATAAAGTAGTTTTTCCTTTTTCTAAGATTCATTCAGATTTCTTTAAATTGCTTTGTTTTATTTGCACTCATCGATATGTTGAAATAAGTTTGATAATATCCCTTTCAAACAAATTAAGTATTATTGATCATACCCCTTTCAATAAATTAAAAAAAATATTTGATCATACTCCTTTCAATAAAATTATTTGATCATACCCCTTTCAATAAATTAAGGATTATTTGACAATAAACTTTTAAATAAATTATGGATTATTTGATCATGCCCCTATTCAATAAATTAAGGATTATTTGACAATAAACCTTTAAATAAATTAGGGAATTTTTGATAATACACCCTTTCAATACATTAAGGTATGCAACAATAATGCTTGAAACCCCAGTCCCAAAGAACTTGGTCTGGAACGTATGTTATAAAAATTGTAAATGCACAAACGGCTAACGTTTCTTTGTCTAGATCTTTGGATATAGAACTCCAGTGCCAATGTCTATTCAAATTAAAGAAACGTCAATTCTTGCTCTTAAAAAACGTGTCCTTTTTTTCAAGGTTAAAAATTAGGATAATCACTTTCTTATAGATATTTTTGTCACTGTATAAAAATAGAAGGCCTGTGAGATAATCGATCTCGCTTCTCCAGCAACGCATAAAATGAGACGGAAAAATGTACGTTTGCAAAATATCTGGACTTTTTTTTTTAAAATGAAATAAAGTAAAAACTATGGAAGATGAAAATGACAGCTATACCTATCATTAATGGAGTGCATGAAACAATTCCTGAAGAGCTTTGCAAAAAGATTGGAAGAATTATGACTCAACAAATGAAATGACACACTCCGGATAACTGAATTAGTAAAAATCGTCAAGAATAGTGAGGAGAATACGGAAGTATTCCTTAGTGCTAACCACCAGAAACAACTGGCGTAAGAACTCATCGATTAAAATGAACGTGCGGACTAATGATATATAGTCACAGACGGGAATCACGAGAAAATCAAATACATAAAATCCACTTGGACTTTAGCATTCGAACGGATCACCCAATCCAGGCCAGGAGACCGGATCAGGTTATCGTCAACAATAAGAAAACATGTCAAATAGTAGATTTCGCTGATCCTACGGAGTAGGTATGAAAGAAAAAGAAAAAAAAATGGATAATTACCCTAACGTTACTACAGAGCTGAAAATGTTGTAGAACATGAAAATGACGGTAGTGCCAATATTTATCGGATCGATAGGAACGGTCCTGAAGAGCTTAGGGAAAAACCTGGAGAAAATGGAAATCAGAAGACGACAAGAGCTTGGGGCACCAGAGATGATAGCATTACAGAAAACAGTTATAATACTAAGGAGAGTGTTGGAGTAGTGGAGATAATTGCTGTTTCTTGATTTCCTGTGTAAATTGGATGGTTGTTTTAGTTTAGTGACATATCGACCTCTATTGGTTATTTAATGCCGAAATTTAAATATTTTGTACGCAATTTTATTTATTTTTGGATAATAATGGTTCTAGTGATACAAGTCTTACTAATTAACCCAGATGTAAGCTTGGATGTGCGGGCCATGATGTGATGGATAATGGCTCGGAATTGTTAATCGTTGAGCCGTGTTCCAGTTCAGTTTAGTACGTTATATTCACTTACGGGCAAATACATTTGGGAAAAGTATGAATCCACTTCTTCTCTCCCCACCCAGCTATGAGTTAATTAGTAAAACTTGTATCACTAAAACTATTATTATCTAAAATATATATTTTCTTGTTTTAAATAACCTGCAAAGGATTAAAAAAAAACCCGTAGAAAACGAATTAATCAAATAATCTATAACCCATTCAACTAACCGATTTTGGGGGACGGTGTGCATAAGGGGGTTAATATAATGACCCTAATCTTAATACTTATGTTTGGGATTATATCATTTGAAACATGCGTAACTAATTAGTAATATTGATATCACCCCCACATATTAATAATATTTTTGTCTCATAGTTTTCAGATGTGTACATAAAATACAAAAAATACAAAGAATACATAAAAAAAAAAAAACAAAAAGCTCTAAAAAATAAAAATAAAAAACCCGGAAATACTTCCGATATAACCTCATAATTCCAAGAAGATTTTATTATCGATTATTATTTATTATCGATTAATTTTATATTCATACTTTTGATTAAACAAGCGATCGATAGGAAATAAATTTAGTCTTTAAACAAAACAGAGAGAGAGAGAGAGAGAGAGAGAGAGTGTGTGTGTGTGTGTGTGTGTGAGAGAGAGAGAGAGAGAGAGAGACAGAAGGGGAGAGAAGATAAACTTGAACGAAAGTT